AGTCTATTTGCAAACGAGAACTGGTTAAAAAGCGTATAATTAAATTAATCGATATTCGACGCAATTAAATATGCGCGAAGCATTAAGAGATCGTACAATTGTAATATTTTTAATGTACGATCTCGGATTCGCATGGTTTATTGTCATTTATTAAATCATTTTCTCGAATTATATTTGATGGAAGGCGCGATTCTCGTGCTGATTTTAAATTTATACCCACTTGAAAACAGAGTTATGTCAAAAACAACAATTACTTAATGCACATTTTCCATTAGAACGTGTTATCGTTATCTCGAGCGCGGTTATGAGGTATCTTCATGGCTTCATGGATGAAAGTCATCGCGTAAGACCTGTCCGCAAACCGCAACTTTAGCAACCGCGTTCTTCTGATAAGAAAGACTTACAGAAGCGTCGTGAGATACGCTATGACAAGATAAAAACCACGTCCGTAAAAATTGATGTAGAAGCCTGTTTCCTTCCGCGATATTATACGGCTATCTATCGTTTGCTATCTATAATCATTTTCCACCACGCATGTTTTCAAAACGCATCACAATATGACGAGATATTTGTAGACACTATTACTTATTAAGATAGAAAAATACGAAAAATAAAATACGGTAAATTAAGGCATCTCTTATGCATATCTTTATATCTCTTGGATAAACTAATGATGCTATATTTATCAATATTTAAACCATTATATCCCTGCGTATTTCGAAAATTTATTTATTAATATATGTTTGATATTACATTTTTTTATTATATGTATTATTGATACAAGCAATATAATTATATATTATCGACGTTGCTTTTTTTCAGTGTTGTATCAATCTCTAATGTTTCTATCTATAAAAAAGAGAAATTGTCAAATTTGGAAATTTAGATTTTAAAATAAGAAAAATTAATTTTTTAGTGTTTCTAAATGTTTTGTAAATTTATTTTAATAAGAAATAAAAAAAAATAAATTTATTTTCCTCAATTCTCGAATTCACGAATTTCATTTCGTGATTTCCCGGTTTCTTTTCGTGCTCGACGGTAGAAAATGACGTTCATATATGGCGAATGCATGTCGAATCATCGGGGCTCGAGGCGAATCGAGACAAATCGTTCGTTCAGGCCGGACCTGGTTCCTTTTCTGTCTCCGCAGACGCATTAAGAATTAAAGCTTTCGTGCTTGTAGTTACCTAACGATCGTGATTTATTATTCAAGCTGTCCCTTTCCTTGGCTACCGCCGCCAATCATCATCGCAAATTCCCTGTGACGAGCGATCGCCCGCTCGTTTCCGCATTCCCCGTATCGGAAAGGCCATTTGCAATCTGTCGAAACCGAGATGTAATTGATCGCTAGCAAGAATGCTGTCCTCGTTCCACAAGCGCGTTGTATGCACATCGCGATATCAAGCGCGTATGTCAGAGCGCGACGAGGGTATCTTTGATCGGTGCCAAAATTAGAGCTTTTTCTAAATTCTAAAAATAAACCAATTTCTCTCCGAATAGAGTATTAATATCAAGTAAGCGCGATAAACGTAATTATCAGTGTAACATAAAAAATAATTATGATTATAATTATATAATTATTATTTTTATTAGTGTTTTTATGCAGGATTATCTTTCTCTGCAATAATAAGTATAATAGAATAAAATGAAAAATTCCCATGTAATGTGTTAATATATATGGCATTTTTACAATTTTTATTAATTATATTTTTTAATTACATTTTTATTAATTATAATTTATCAACTTTACGTCAATTTGAATATTAAAGGAATATATATTCGCATATATATAATTATCATCTGTATAGCATATATTTCCTCTTAGAAAATAAGGCCAATAATAACTATAGAATAAGGACAATAAAAACTATAAAATAAAAAATTACATGTGATGTCACTTTTTTTTATCAATTGTATTATGTATTTTATCAATTTCTATACCAATTTGAATATTAAAGGAATATATACTCATAACAATTATTAAATTATATAACGTATTCTTGCTTCAAAAGATACTTTAACAATAAGAATCTTCATAAGAACTTTCATAAGAATTTTTAAAGACACGTGGTTGTTTGCCCAGACATCCCGTGCCCTATGGACCTTGAATGTCGAAGACCTGCGATTAAATCGGCTCGCCAACGTCTCATCTTCGCGCTGATTTCGGCGTTTCTTATCACATATATCTTGACCGACGGCGCGTTAGTGAACGCCGACATATGAATACGAGAAGCACGAGTATATACGTCCTATAAATTGCGCGTTATACAGTCCATTCGGACATGAGATAAAAATCACTCCTCTCACTCGTCCTCATCCCGATCTTGTCGCGCTCTTTGTCGCGCTTCTCCCGCTCCTCCGAACAACGAGGACTGTTTCTTCGCGGTTTATAGGGATTTTGGACGAAAGTGCCGAGCTTTATCGGTAGTCGGAGTCGCAGTCGGAATCCAAAAAGAAAAAGAGCAAAAGAGAAAGAGGGGGAAAGAAAGAGAGAGAGAGAGAGAGAGAGAGAGAGAGAGAGAGAGAGAGAGAGAGAGAGAGAGAGAGAGAGAGAGAACATGAAGTTCCTTGCGTCGCACGAGATCAACGAAAAGTGATCTCTATCTTGAGACTCAAGTTGACTAACCTCGGAGAGCAGAGCGTTTCTCTCTCTTTCTAAACGATATCTTTCTAGTTACGTTATGAATAGAGATGGAAAATTTAATTAAATATTGTCGGAGTTGATCGACATTGAAGGGACTTCTTAGCTATAGTTGTACTTTGCATAATTCTAATTAACATCGAGAGAACGGCAATAGCATGTCGGATCCAGCATCTTCTTATCTGATTTTTAGCTTTTGTAGTTTTTATCAGTTTCGAAATTTTTCTTCTGTGAATTCTATTGAAGTCGGAATTATTCAATAGTTTAACATTTTATCGTAAATAGCAAACTAAGTACTTTTGTCAGGGATTTGCTTAAAGTAGATAATTATTGCATTAGTTTGATTCTAAAATCAAAATATTTCTATAATTTTTAAATCCATCTCGATTATATAATAAATAGTAGATATATCCTTTTTTAACTTATTTTATATTTTTATGAATTATATAATTGATTGATTAAAAATTATTATTTTAGAATATTTTATAACATTATTTTTTTTTTAAACATGAAAATAGAAAGGATTGAAACGTCACTTTTTTTCATGTAGCAACTATAAGATCTACAAATCTGCGAATATAATTCTTCGTGAAAACTCGGCGACTCGATGAAAAAAATCAGAACGGTGGCGCCAAAAACGTCTTCATCTTTGGAACGTAGTGTCGATAAAGGCGGGTAGATGATAGGGTTATAAAGTCCCGCCAGCTCGCGACTGGAATGGTTCATCGGAGGGGTAGCCTGTCCCCTGAACGATTTCGTCGTGGAAGCCTGACGCTGACGATCGTAAAAGTATCCCTGCCAGCAGCTTTTCGCGAATTTGTCGATAAATATTCTCCCCACATATTACACCTATCCTATGGATATTCAAAAATTGGCCAAGTTTGCGAAAATGTTCTATAAACTGCAATAAAAGTAATGATTCAGATTTTCGTCGCAAGATTCATTTGTGACCAATTAATTCAGCGAGCTTATCAGAAGGAAGCATTCGCAAAACTCTATTCTGTCTGTTATACAGTCATTCGCGGCTACGACATTCGTCACAAGGCAAATAAAAAATAAAAAATAAAAAAAAAATTTACGCTGGGTGGATCCAGCAAGAAGATACGTGGGTCCCTTTTTTCGCAAATTGATATTGAAAGGGACATGTTGCGCGGGGTAGAAGCAGCAAATGCGACGTGCGTCATGATGGCGAGCTATTTCTTTCTGGCAATAAAGAAATACATCGCGTACATTTCCACGTTATAAATTTTTGGACGTCAAAGTGCCCGGTGCGCGCAGATCAAATAGATTGAAACGTAGCAGTTGCATGATAAATCTTGCAATTTCATGATTTTTATCAAAATCTGCGTATAATAAAAAATTGTGGAAATATAAAATGCTCGTCTAGATAAATGTAGAGAGACAGATATAGATATTCATTTTCTATAAGAGAATTTCTCTAAATATGTGTATTTCGAGACATGATAACAAGAATAATAATAATAATAAGATACCGTCGATGGAAATAGATTTTTACGAACATTTTTATTATACCTTCTGTCTATTTAAAGGCTAAGAATCCGCGAGTCTGTTTTAGGACTTAACGAAACGATAAAACGCCGTGGCACGAGTTTGCGAAAGTTGTTCGCGGTACTTGGGCGCTCAACTTCCGCCTGTCTCGTTCGCGGTATAACGGCCGTTTTGAAGAAGCCAGTTTTATTTATCGCGCCGTCTCCTACCGTGTGTGTCTTTCGCCTGAAAGTATCTTCCATCTTGCCGCACCGGGAGACGAAGACGGAAATTGTTATCGCCTCGCGACACGGGTACTTTCGTATTAAGGTAGAAGCTTTCCGAAATTTTTCGGAAGAGAGACCCGACTTGTAACCGATTCAATTTGCCTAATGAAGAAGGTAGGGGGAGGAGGGCGACGGGAAACTATAAAGCGCGGCTTCTATGATTCACTCTTCGAATTGATTTTTTCCTATACGATATTCCCTCGCGCAAATGTCACGCATGATACGGATGCTGCTATTATTTTAAATCAAGACATATACGGGACATATTAAATACAATACAGATTCTCCGTATAATTTGCATGGAAATGGGCATAAAGTTTGTTTTTGAATATTCTTGTACACTATATGTTTTTAAATCTTTCACGTGAAAAAGATCTAATATTAAAGCTCTTCTCTATATTATTCTATAATATAGAAAATCTTTAATGATCGTATCATATTTTCCTATAAAAAAATTTATCACTCATCAAGAAAATCAATCCGAAACTATTATTTAATTCTTCTGATTCTACTGATTCAAGAAACTTAGTTTCCTTCTCTATTGCTCTATTATATATAAATTATGCTACTCTTTCTGTTTGTAGAATTCTATACGTCACAACCTGTCGCTGCACAGCAGGTTTATGCGAGTGCAAAACGAGGGCACCGGCAAGAGTTCCTGGTGGATGATCAACCGCGACGCTAAACCAGGCAAATCCGCTCGTCGCAGGTAAGTCCGGATTGTTGACAACTTGCCTACCTTTACGCTTCTCGTCTCGACTGCCAAGAGTAACGTGCGTCAAGAGTAACGTTTGCTCTGCAGGGCCACCACCATGGAGAGTACCGGAAGTCTGGAGAAGCGACGCGGTCGCTCGAAGAAGATCGCCGAAGCACTGAGGAACGGCGGACTGTTAGCTGAGCCCACGTCTAGTCCCAGCAGTAGCGTCGGCGAGGGTCTAGACTTGTTTCCGGACAGTCCCCTGCCTCCTACTAGCGGATTCCAGCTTACCAGCACCGATTTCCGGTACGTTTTCATCATAAGACTTTAATTTTCACCATTTAATTTTCATCAAAAGAAAGTCAAATATATAAATTATAAATTTATACACTCGTCGAAATTATATATGTTACCCTGCTTTGATATTTTTTTTTTGTTTTAAACTTTAAACTATGGAAGCCTCACTAAATATAAACGAATGGAGCAAAATCGAGATTAATTAAATAAACATTTTTTTTTTCATTCCGAGAGAATTTGAAGTATGCGAATATTACAGTTCAAAGGAATATTCAAAATAGTGATTTTAATTACTTGGAGATATAAATACGATGAATGTAGAAGTTAAAACGTCACATACATCATGTGTGTATCTATATCAATTATTATGGAGAAGAATTTATATTATCTAAAGGATCGAGGACAAATATCTCTCAGTTAAAAGCCGGGCACAATATACGACTTATGACGAAACGAAATGTTTCTGTTATTCAAGTCCTCGCGCTTCGAGCAACGCCTCTTCCTGTGGCCGATTGAGTCCTATTCCGGCGGTTCTCGGGGAACCGGACTGGACGCCGACCTATGCGCCTTCCTACAGTCCGGAACAACAACTAGGTACAATATTTAACACATTAATCTCTCCTTTTTTCCCTCTATCACCTTGAATTTTCCGCATCGAGTTACCTTCACATGATATTATAAAATCCATAGCTTTTAGCCAAATTAAATAACACATTGCGTTTAACATATAAATGAAAATTATATCGTATATAAATAATGGCTTTAATAACTCGATCGCGACTCTAATTGAAATTATACATATATATTAATCGCAAGATAAAATCAGCTTTTCACCGTTTTTAATTTGATCCGTCTCTCCGGATACGCGATTGATACGTGGTATATCGTGCCCGATAGCAGACACGATCCTAGCTGGCAACCTGGCAGAGACAATGAAACTGGAGCCCTACCAAATCTACCAGACGTCACCGCCGGCCAGCCACCAGCAGCAGACCGGGCCACCGCCGCCTTATTACGAAGCGCAGTACCAGAGGAACAACGGCCTACGCACCCCGTCGTCCGCATCCTACAGCCTGCCACCTACCCCGCAGTCGGCCAATCAGCAGAGATGCCCGATCCACGGTCTGCAGCCGTGCGCCTGTCAGATGGTGAGTCCGAAATTTTTGGCGGATTTTTCGCGCGTGAACGCCACAAAGGAGGACGTTGGCGTTTTTACGTTGCCTGCACACATTCGGCCTGGCAATGTTGCAAAATCAATAAGGATCGCGATGTACGTTTTACACGTACACACGTCTGTTTGGTGGTGTGTTTAGTTTCTACAATCTGCGCTTTTACCGAAAGATAACCGACAGAGCCTTTTTTTGCAACGAGAGCGATTAATAAATATCGCGTCATTGAGTAGATTTGATTGAATTAAATATGATGTAACAGGCGTCGTGCCGAAAGAACCGAGGAATCTTTTCTTTACGAACGTTTAATACGTTATTTTTCGCGACGTCACGTATTTTCGCAGGGATATTTTTGTTGTCTCGTGTGAAAAGATTTGCATCCGTCCGATGGAAGCTTATTTACATTTCATTATTGAAACTGGCTTAAAAAAGCATCATATGCTTATGAAATTGTATCGAAGCGTATTTTCAATAACGGCACAAACGCAAACATATTCGAGCCAAGCCCGGGACAATCTGTCTCTTGTAATTGTTCAATTTTCATGAGATTTTTGTATTATATTGTATTATAAGAGAATATTTACCTACTTTTTACTTATACGAGTTCGTTATTTTATTGCTGTAAAATATATTCTTTTATAAATATAGTCTTTTTTCGAAAACCTTAACAATTTGCACGGTAGTTAAACAATAAAATATTTTTCAATATCTTGTAATAAATTCTGGCAGTTATATGAGCAATAAACATCAATAGCATGTCATGAAACGCAAATAATAATGTTTCGCATCTCCTTTATAAATTATTATTAATTATATTTATACGTTTTCATTGTCACTCCTTTTTCCAAATTTCAAAATTAGAACCTGAGCCCAGGCATGTCGCCATCCGGCATGTCGCCATCGTACCAGCAGAGCGAACCCAGTCCTACGACACTCGGCAGCAATCAGCAACAGACATTGCAATATATGATTCAAACGCAACAGCGTCAACAGCAACAACAGCAGCAGCAGCAGCAGCAACAGCAGCAGCCGCAGCATCAGCCGCAACATCAACCGCAGCATCAGCCGGCGCAGACTGGACCAGCTGGTCCCAGTCCGCCCAACACTCCGACACCCTGTCCCGCCACACCCAGCACCATGATGGGTCAGCTGATGGGCGCGCTCAATCATTCCGCCCTCCTCGACGATCTTAACATCAACATCGAGGCGATGCACGGCGGCTTCGACTGCAATGTCGAGGAGGTAAGTCTGATTATGCTGCGTCTGTTACTACTGATACTCTTTCTAATATTTTAAGGATTTTTTATTACGAGAGGTTATTCGTTCTCTCGGGTATTAAATGTAAAATGTACTTGTAAAATAATTTCCTTAAGTTGTAATATATAAACATGAAAAATCAATTAGCATTTTGATTTTTATGATATCTGTAGTTTGATCATTATTAATCCTCTTGTTCGGGAGCTCGTCTTCTAATCATAATTTTCCTAGAAATATTATGCTGTATAAAAACATGCTTTATAAAGGCAAGCATTACACGGCAAATAAGATGATTATCTCGAAAATTGTAGCTTGGGTTCTGAAAAGAACTCGAGTACAGACAGGGAAGGGAGGAAGCGGAAGTGTTTCATATAAAAAAAATATTTATAAATGCGAGATTCGACGCGCGAATTGCAGGTGATCAAGCACGAGCTGTCGATGGGCGGCACGCTGGACTTCAATTTCCAGCAGGGGGTGATGGGCACCGTGCAGGTGAGCGACGGCAACGTCGTCGGCCAAAACGGCGGCGTCGTCTCCCAGAACACGGGCGTCGTCGTCGGCACGACGACCGGCAACGCGCCCGCGGGCGTCTACGTCAGCACGAACGCGGCCACCCCCGCCGCGACCCCCTCGTGGGTTCACTAGCAGTTAACCCCCCTGCCCTCGACACCCCCGTCGTCCTTGCCGATGCCGCCGTTGTCCGACGGATCGCTGGATAACTTCCGCGGGACGACCGAAGGGCAGCTCATCGGTGAGTCTTTTTCAAGATTTTGAGTTACTCGCAATTATAGTATTGACTGCATCGATCGACTCAATTCTTTGACGTATTTTTGTTTTTATCGAACTTACTTATCCTCAAAAATTTCAATTCTTTTACGTATTTTATTTTTATCGAACTTACTTACCCTCAAAAATTTCAATTCTTTTACGTATTTTATTTTTGTCGAATTTACTTACCCTCAAAAATTTCAATTCTTTTACGTATTTTATTTTTATCGAACTTACTTTCAACAATTCTTTACATTAATATTTAAATATATATATATTATAACATAAAAATTATAATCATTAAATTATTATTAATTATAATATATTATAATGATAATTAAAATGATAATATAAATATTATTTATTTTTAAAATATATTCGAGAATCGCGCAGTCTTTGGCTTCATTAGAATTTCTTGAGCATCGAGCCGGAAGAAATATTTGTACTTATAGATGTTGGAGAAGTCATGTGTGTACTCGACTAGAGTTTCAGTTTCATTTATTGTTTATTTTTGCTTTATATGGGAATAAGAAATAATCATCATCATTACTTAGTATTTAATAATCATTTCACGTCGATGTCGCATGTTCCACGAGTGATGATTGCGTATAATTTATTCTACGTCTGTTTACTTTAATCAAAATAAAAAAGTATAAGTAATAAGATCATCACCATTAAATATCATTGAATATTCATTTCACGTCAAATATCCTACGAGTGATCGGTAATACGTAGTTTATAACATTTCTCTCTCGTTTATTTTAGTAAAAATAAGAGAAATAATATGATGATAAAGAGAGAATCCCGATTAACATCTACGCGATAATTTCAACTTGTCATGTAATCAGAGGAAATAAGGAAAGAAGGAACGCGTATGATCTGTATCTTGCATCTGCAAAATATACATCAAATCCGCAAATCGCTGACGTATCATTTTGATTGATCATCCGAAAGTTCGTTTAGACGAGCGAAGATTCCATTGCGCGAAACTGCGGAGGAGAGAAAGATATTCGGAGAGGGGGATCAGTTGAGGGGTAGGCGGAGGGGAGGCAGGTCATTGATTGCCCCCTCGTGCACGCAAAATAATATTTGCATACTCGTGTCATAACAGTGCTCAGCCGTATGGTATTTAATAAATCGCTTCGACGTTTTGTGCCTCCGTCCCCCCTTCGGTTCTCCTCTCGCCCCCCCCCCACTCGCTAACCTCCACCCCATCCGCACCCCCATCCCCATCCCCCGGTCCGCTGTTTCGTACGTGCCGACACATTCATATAGCGGCAATCCGTGTATCCGACGGTGTTTTGTGCGAAATCGTTATTGACTTGGACGCGATAACAATTACATTGCCGCGGGCCGCGAATTTTATGGAAAGCCTTAACACAATATTGCTGATCGCGATCACGGGAAAACAGTTGCATTTTGTTTGACGAAGAAGCGAAGCGGCGAGCAATTACGCCCGTTTGCGAAAACACACTCACGGGAGGTCTCCATTTTTCTCGCGAGATAAGGCGGGCTTCGATAACCGGTCCATCGTACACTTGCGTATTCGATGTAACTTTCCATGAGAAGAAGTAGGGAAGAATCTAATTTACGACGAGTCCAAGTAGACTCGTAAAAGTCGAAAGAGAGAATCCTAGCTCTTTAAAACAAAGAGAATACTTGCAAAGTGCGTACAGTAGTATAAAGGAAGATCTGAAAATTGTTTTGGAATAAAGTTGACAGATGAAAGACAGACTACAAGTGCCCACAGCTGTTCGATGCGCGTTTGACGTTTCGTGAAGAAGATGATTTCAAAAGCCGAGAAAAAGCGCAATTTACGAATAAGTCGACTATTTAGTAGTCGACGAGACGATAATCCCCTGTACGTCATTTCCCGCAGTATTCATTTACGGGGTGGTGAAATATTCGCGTCGCTTTGCGCCGACCTTGGACGATTTACACGAAATTACGCTGATAATCGCGTCCGGATAACGCGATCTGTCCCTTTGCTTTTGGTCGGCAGCGATTTGCGCGCGTAAAGCTTACGTTAAAAATTAAAACGTTTTCACGTTCCTCTTTACGTCGCTTCTTTTTTTTCACACTTTACCCTCTCTTTCTCGATAGCGGGAAGCGGTGTAAAAATGTAACGTGATTTCTCGCGAAAAATCGCTTTTTGCTGTTAGTACTTTGCTGCAACGCGACTAAAATAACTCCCACTTCGCTACCGGAGCCTTTTAATCTTTAGCACACGCACAAGTGCGACGTGTAATTACAGCTTTATCCTACCATCTCATCGTCGTTGTCGTCGTTGTCGCACTAATGGAAATAAAAATGCCATATGAATGCACGGATAAACGTTCGACGATATTAATCATTCGCTAGTAATCGCGTTCTAGCGTGTGTTTTCCGGCGCCGAGTTGCAACCGGGCTGGATGTTGGCTTCCTCTCTCAATCTACGCGATTGCGTGATCGCCGCAATAATGTTTTTCTTTCGAGCGTCGCTGCAAAAAGAAATGTCGGGAATGAAGTGTAATCGTCCACCGATTCATTCACAAGCGTGCAATGATTCGCGAACTAATTGCCGCGATATTACACTCAACCCTTTGACAGTGAAAAAAGAATGACAAATGGAAGAAGACCGAGTATAATTCACAGAGTCGATATATTAATAAAAAGTAAAAAACAAATTAAATATCCCCAAATAGAAGAAACGGGGTAACTGAAAGCCAAGCGCGATAATTGAAGCGCGAGTTAATTCTTTTTCTTCCAAGGCGATTTATTAATTATTCAAAGTCGTATATATTGAGTATTCGATATCAGATAGTTTTCAGTCACATTTCTAATCGAATGAGAAATTAGAAAAATATTTAAAATAAAAGAAACCAATATAAAAATTTAATAAAAAAATGTGCTCGAATAAAAGTTTCGATAAAAGAATTTGTCTTAAATTAAGCATAAATGTATCTTCATTCGCTCAAGGTCGATTCTCGATGACACTAATCTCGATTCGTGCCACTTCCACGATTTGCCTTGATCTCGCCCTCGTCATCGAGGGAAAGAGCAGAGCGCAAAGAGTAGCGACAAGCGTACAGAGGGAGAAAAAAATGACGCGAGCGTTTGGCCACGCGAGCGACTCATTTTTTTTCCCTCCCGGAGAGCCTCTTTTGGCGATTGCACTCACATGACAGCCTACTTTGTTGTCCCTACGGGCGCGGATATTATTTACACGGCGGAATATCGGCCCGAGAGAGATATTAGCTTCCAGAAAAATATTTTTCAGAGTGGCGAACGCGCGCGAGCGGCGAAAAAATACCGCCCCCGGGCTTACGCCCCGGTATATTAACGCTTCCGGCGTGCGTTTCAGTAGTTTGTTGTGCGTATGAAACCGGTATGCACACGTCGATCTCCGTTAGTTCGCGGGAGGGGTAGGGAAATCGATGTCTTTTTGTTTCCTGTCCCTTCTTTACCCCGTTCTCTCTCCTTCCTCTCTCTCTCTCTCTCTCTCTCTCTCTCTCTCTCTCTCTCTCTATTTTTTTTTCGTCGACTGTATATCCATTTACCGTCTGGCGAAAAGGGCATAAATTCGAGCGTCTGGATAAAACCGATACCGAACCGACGCGGCGAGCGAAGCGAAACGAAACGAAACGAAACGAAACGAAACGCGACGCGTAAGAAACGCGCTCCGAGGCACGAACGTTTCAACGCGGCCGGCGATGTCGTGACGGTGACGGGAAAAATTCCGCGGTAATTCTTGGCGCACTTCGGAAAAATTCCTCCTGCCATTCGAGAAAATATTTTCAATCATTTTTGCGGGGGAGAAAAATCTTTCGCTATCCAAAGTGCGGTAGCGAAAATTGATTTATCGAGCTTACGGTCTAAACGTTACGTATACATGTGTATAACTGGCACTTTATCTCGAATCGCTTTGCGTCTAATCAGCCTCGGTATCTTTAATCGTGATGTCAAAATAAATCGGAGTAATTTCCATTCCACTTTGGCGATGACGAAACGCCATTCTTTCCCGAGCAACGGATAACGAGACGGGACTTGATAACGTGATAATCCGAGGATTGCTCCGTTTTATCGAGCACGACGATAAAGGAACGACCGTCCAAGTCCGGCTTTATCCCGTCTCGTCGTCCTGTAAAACTACTCGCGAGAGTAGTCTCGGCCACGGGGCGGAAACTGCGAAACTATGAGAAGCGTCCCTCATTAAACGAGAGCACGCTCGGCGAAACTTTTGTCGTCCGAAATAACAATGGAGTCTCTCGAGCGCCGGATTATTTCGAGATCACACGGTACATGACTCTAATTGAACGACTTCCGGTCGGCGTCGCGCTAATGGAGAACAGATTTTTATATCCACGCCGACCGTAACTCGCGATCGAAACTCGAAACTCGCTTGTCCCCGATCGGTTCCTTTTCTCACGAAAACTTCCGAGTTGGAGTAAAAAGTATCAAGAAGGAAATAGGAGAGAGGGAGAGCGATATGTTCCACGTGAAAGAAGGAGAGGAAGAATGGAAACAAAGAGAGGGGCAAGACTAAGAGATGCAACGATAGATCGAGCATGTAGGAGGTTGCGGGGGGAAGGGGAGGGTTGGTCTTCGTTCGTCTGACAAGGTTGGGTGGCGAGGAAAGAAGTCTTCCTCCCTCCCCCGCCTCTTCGTCTTCTTTCCTCCACCAACTTTATAATTCTTGCGACGCTTTTGGGGAATGAGATTGTCGGCGGCGGAGGCGACTAAGGGGGTGACCGGGCTTTAAGGTAGTCCGCTGGCGCCAGTGACGTCTGCCGAATAGCTGCTGACTCCCAGACTCCTGCAGTTTCGACTAAGTGGTTCCCTTTTGCCCCACTTGAGCGTCTGTGAGCGTGCACCTTCACCCTCGCCCTTTCCTCCCCTCCCTCCCACCCTTCCTTGCACTTATCGATAACAAGGGTCGAGTCGATTTTCCATCGATCGGGAAAAGAGTATGGAATGATTAGAGCAGCGAGTATTTTTAATTCG